AATCATCAAAAGAGGAAGAGGATTCACACATCTTTATGAAACTTATGAAAACAAGGGAGATGGCAAATGGTACCACCAGTAGTTGAGGTCTCTAAATAAATTGCACAATTTTCACCAAATATATTAGTCTATGTTAAGAAAGAGTGCAAAAAAGAAACAAGTTGATAATAAAGCTTGTAAATTTAGAAACAATTTTTTAAGTTTAATGATTTTAATTTTTGATATAAATGATCACAAAAATTGTACATGTACTTTAGTTACAAGTAAATTGTTAATTTGATTGGCAGATGCCCTAACTTTCTAGTTATTATTCTCATTAAGCGCCAATAGCATTTTATAAATCTTTTCTGCACAGAACAAACAAGAAGAATAACATAACTCGATAACTTACACCTTATATATTAGAACTCAATTAGGCCAAGTAAATTTCTTCTAAAGCAAATGGGTGGGAAAGGTATTAACTACTTCACTGTTATAGATAAAGAACATTGAAGAAAGAGAATATGATGTACTTGTAAGGACCCGGAATTAGAAGAAAAATAAATTCATAAATTTAATGCAGAAGCGATTAATATAGTTAGAATTTATATTCCTTACATAATAATTTAGAATACTCAATAGTATTACGGGAATATCCATTCTAAAAAATAAAAAGAAAATTAAAGAAATGAAATAAAAAGTGAATAACAAAACATCTTATGACAAGTTTCACTAACACTTGAAGGAAGTGAACTACTCACAATTTTCTTACTGATCGGAATCTGAATCTTAATCCTCTAGATATGAAATAGTTAATGGAATGGCGAGTTACACTAGTTCAGTAAGAATATTACGCAAATAACAGATATAGAAAACTAAATATTGATAAAAATTATAAAATAACTAATTGAGCACTTAATTTGAATAAATTCATTTAATATAAAGAAGATCGTTTATTCTGAACTTACTGTAACAAGTTTTTCAAAACGACCTATGCAAACCCATATCTATATCACTCTTTACTT